TGAGTCAATCTCTCATAAATTACTTGTTACTGTTTCATTTTTAATTATAAGATAGTAAAATTACAAGGTGGTCTTCAACTTATGTTAATGAATGTAGATAGATATATATATTTAAATTGTTATGTAAATGAAACTATTAACAAGATTATATTCATTTTTATCAGGTAAAGCATCCCAAATAGAGGACTGTATATTCTGAGCACAAAAATCACTAGACAAATATCAGATTTGTCTAGTATATCTAAGTTGACAAAGGTAACTTTCAGAAAAAAATATTTCCAAACATAGAAATTTAATGTGAAAGCAACAAAGACATCGTGGCAAAAACATTGTCAGAACTGGCTCTTCTAATTTGTTATAGTAAATGTTTAAATTATCATGCCTCAAAGAAAAACAATAGTGAAATAAAGAATTTCATTATGACATTTTTATCAGTTTATTCTTTGACATTTTATATGAATATGTGCTTGCTTAGTTTTTCTTTGTTTATTGAATATATGTGGTGGCCTATATTTCTTTAACATTCCATGTTACAGCAGGCTTAGTTTTAAAATGTGTTTTCCAAAGAAACCTGTACTCAAAATACACAAAAAAAAATTGACATAATATATATAGTTATTGCTTCGTCATTTAGATATAACCACACAAGAATATTATTATTATATCATCTAGCTTTGAGCCTTGTTTATAATTTAAGTCAATCCCTCAAGTTTAATAACACTGATGCTAGTTTATTCAAAATTTGTGATTGAATAATAAAGTTTGAAATGAAATAGATTTAGAACTTCCAAATTAAAGATGGTTGCAAGACCTTGATCTAATTAAACATTAGGAAATCAGACTGCATCTGTCTCTTACACTTATGGATAAAAAGTATATCATTTAAGCTTTATAACAGACAGAAATAAATTCTGGATACAGTTTCCTCTTCTGAGATAAAGAAATAGAAAAAAAACATGGGGGAAAATGTTGTTAGATTTATGAAAAATATTATCGTGAAAATTGTGACAGTTTGAAAGAACAGTACGATTTTTCTACAGCAACAAAATAACTTTGTTTACATTTGAAAAATTTACTTACAATTTTGTAGCACCAACTAATCTTACAAACTATTATAGCAAATGTATGCCTCAGTGAGTATGCCCCCAATGATTGTGACCCAATTCAAGTTTAATAAATATCTACTATTGAGAATATGAAGTCTTTCTTCCCTTACAGAAAATATACAATGTTTTCAATGAAATAAAAACATCCTTTTTCTTTTTTCTTCTAACAATTATTCTTTAATATTTGATCAACAAATGTTAATTTATTATTGTCTGTATTGTATCAACCACCACTTACAAGATTTTCAGTTCTAGTTCTAATAAACTAAATCAATTTTTTTTTTTAACTTGAAATTATTTATAAATTTGTAAAAACAGGAAATTTTCAGATGATTTCAGAGGTTTAACATTCACTGAAAATGGGATTAAGAAAAACTTTAAATTGTCATTACACTTGACAAAGATAGAATAAAATAATGTCGCTATATCCATCAGATCTTGTATAGTTTATATGTATACAAAATAAAAAACTGCATAAGCAAACAAATGCTCTAGTAAACCTAATTGTATTTCATAATAATCTGATCGTTACTTTGATTCCATGTAGATCAGATGAATAAATACAACCACTTAATCTTCCTGACAATGATAAATTTTAAATGTCAAAATCAAAATTGTTGAAGATAATATTTCCAAAAGACTGTAAATATTAATTTGTCTATTCTGATGAATATTTACTGTGAAATGAAAAGAATTTCAAACATATCAATAAAAAATTGTACAGCCTTATTTGAAGCTTAAAGTGTGATCCAAGGCAGCAGAAGCAGTAAATCTTTTGGACTTCAGAAGAAAATATTTTATTACGTAAAAAATGTTCAGTATTATTGATCTTTGCAAAGGGAAATAATCCTGATGAATTTTACATTCCATAAAGGAAATGCATTCTACTATACTAGTTGTTAGCATTATTACAAAATGTTTTTTATTCAGTTAAAAATAGCAAATAGCATTAAGGTATTTTATTACATTTAGAAGATAATACAATCTGAGTAAATGAAAAATTATAATGATAAAGATTGTAATTATACCTAAAATCAAAGAATTCTTTTAAAAAATATTATGCTAATTATAAAATTACTTACCAAGACAAATATAAAACTAATTGTCATATATATATATATATATATATATATATATATATATACACACACACACACACAGAGGAATCCCTCGATTAGTGCAGTTAATGTGCACATTGGTAACTATAAAAAAAAAATTTTCAATTACTATGTTTAAACTGAAGAATGTTTTACTGCACTAATCAAGTATTATGTATACACTAATGGAATTTTGGTATATGAAAATTTTAGCACAATAATTGAGGATGCCTATATATATATATATATATATATATATATATATATATATATATATATATATTACTTACCTGTCGCATTTGGCCAGGAAAGTATGTATGGAGAAGAGAGAGAAAGAGAATACATATTTTAAAGAAGCAATATTATTTAAAATTCTCACCTTTAAGAAGATAAATTCTAGTAATATTTAACTGAATCACTTAAGAAAGGAGTAAAAAAAAAAGACTAAGATTAAATTAATGCTGATCTGGCAGAGAAGGAAACAATGAGCTAGAATATAAGCCAGCAAGTTTTCTTAGAAGATAAAGAAAAAGATGAACAATGGAAACTAATTCAGAATAGAGAAATATATTCAGAAATAGAGAAAACCTCCTACAACCTTGTGCAAAGGGGTAGTGAAAAGTTCTTGGTCCCAAAACACCAAAAATATCAGTCCTTCAAGGATTAAACATCAGAATACTGGAGAGTGGATCTGGCTGAGAACATTTCATAACTTCCTTGTATCTAAGAATAAAAAGAAGTATAAACATCTTCAACTCAAATGATTTGAGTCACCTTCGACTTATATCTAAATAAGGTTTTTCCCAATGATTCCTGCCTTTAATTGTAATTAAAAAAAAAAAAAAAAAAGTAAAAATAAATAAAAATTTAATTTGAAGCATCAATGACTGACTAAATGTTTGGTCATATTTCTCAAGGAGTTTTTTTTTTATTTCACAGTTCATAGAAGCCTTTTCCTGTTGGCTTGTTAGCAAGATATTAAAAAATGTATTTACAAATAAGAACAAATGTTCATAAAACTTTGTGAAACGAGGTAGTTTAGATCTGTTGGGTTGATTTCTAAGGGTTAAGTATGTTCTGTAGCAGAATGTTAGCCATGATAAAAAAATGACTAACATATGACTGAAACCTGTCACAAGTTTCCTAATTTTAAGATCACTAAAAAAAATTGAAGGAGAGAAAGTGATGTTAATAATATTAGTGTAAGAAAAATTATTTTCCATTCCATAAATAAAAGATGAGAATAAAAAGTTCTTCCATCATAATTTTTTTCAATATATGTGCATATATACATGTTAAAGGATTTTATTGAAGAGAGGTGACTTAAAATCTGATCACAAAACCCCCTTGACTGAATGATTATTGATATAAACTGATTCAGATGAAATTGTCCAAATGATCAGTGTCAGCAGTTTAACTTAGAAATTGGGTGGTCAAACAAATTTAACACTTGTTGGGTTGCATATATACTCAACAACTAAATAGTGTTTACAGCCTTCTTTTCTTCTGCTGAGATTTGATGATAAATTGTATATGAATATTTTACTAAATGTCCAACCCAACCATCTTTAATTTCAATTGGTATTCTAATGACAAACTGGTACTCAGCTATGGAAAGGAATAAGGTCAATAAACAACCCAACTTCTAGAGCATAATAGTGATCAAAAACTGTTACAAGAAAAAAATTTGCAGACACACAGAGAACCTTATGTGTGTAAAGCTGACAAGAATTACATCCAAGGTTGAGTAAGGACTTAATTTAAGTTAACATAATTGATTTTTCTGAGGAAGCTTAGTAAATTTTCTATGACATAGAAGTAATTTATCATTTTTAAGATGTCGGCATTCACCTTGGGGACATGATTATTTTTTTTTTATTTAAATGTAACTTGCTGAATAATATTTAAAAAAAAAAAAAAAAAAAAAAAGACATAAATTATGATATTTTTTCCTCAAACTGCAAGAAACTGACAAAAATAATTCCTACTAATAGTGAACAACATACCATCAAGGAGAGTGAATCAGATTCTTTTAACAGACATCAGCAATTCCAAAGTAGAAACATTTACCTATTTGACTCATGCTTTAAAACTGCAAACAAAAATGAAATTTAGAAATAAACAAAGATTATAGATATTTAAAATCATTTGTATCCAAAAAATGTTTAGCAAAAGTATTTTTTATAATTTTCAAATAAATTTATAGCCATGGTGTTCTTCAAAATTAAAAACAAAATTAAATGCAATTAACAATTCTTAAGCAATGTGCACAATTGACATAAAAATGTCATTTAACTGGATATTGCATGAATTTGACCTCACTTATATTTGATATATCTTTTTTTAACAAAAATGCAAACATTGCTTTGATAGTTTTTACAAAATTCATATTGTCAATCTAATAAACTCCACTTGATGGCAACAATTTCCATGAAAAGGAAACAGCAAATTTGTAATCTAATGCATTTTAATGGTAAATGAACAGAGTCTGAAAATAGACTTGCATTGTTTCCATCATAAGCAAATGGTGACCAATTCTCCTTTCAAAGATGAAAGAGAAAGAAGTAAATAAAACAATCATTGTAGAAAATGTTTACTTTGTATCTGATGAGACAGGTAAAATGCACAAGTGTAAATGTTTTCACATAATAGATAGATGCAGTTTTTATACACAGCTTATGAAAATTGAGGATGAAGGATGTGTGTGAATGGAAGATGATACCCATGGTATCACAAAAATGAGGTGATGATGAAGAAAGCATTTTATGTACAGAAAAAAGAGTCAGCTCTCTCTTATTCAGGCTACTTTTTTCTTGCTATAATGGGGGTCCATTAATTCCAGGGTGAAGGAATGCACAGTTACTTCCAAATCGGCAACCATTTGGTGAAGTAAAATGTCGGCAAATCTTTGGCATATCTGAAAAGAAAGAGACACAGAGAAACAAAATAATAAAATATCTTATTAACTAATTGGAGAGAGAGAAATTTTAGACAAAATTCTGCTGTGTTCAATAATTCACAGACAATACATATTGCTAAACACAATAATATGATTTCTGCAAGCCTAAAATTGATTCCTTGTAATTAAGAGAAATCAATTTCAGGAAATCATAGCAACAGATGAAAAAACGAGTATATATTGAAATTAAAAGTATGAATATTAAAAAAATAGTGAAAGCCAACTCTACTACTCACTTGAAAAATAAAATGGAGACAACTTCCTAAAAACAATAAATAAAAAAGTGGTAAAATGTCTTAAAAGAATTCAAATAAATTTTCATTTTTTAATCTTCTAAATTCTAGTTATATACTATCGAGAAGGCATTAAAAAAATTTCCCTCATCAAATAAAAAGTTTTCAATGATTGATTTTAATTTGCTCATGTTTCATATTTTCACTTTGAGCAGGTTTGCACCCAGCCATTCAGAGAAATCACAGCAACAGAGGAAAAAAATGTTTAAGAGTAAATATTTTAATTAAAAATATGAGTGGCGTGTGTGTATATATATATATATATATATATATATATATATATATATATATATCCTAATAATAAGGCATAATATGAATAATCCGGACATATTACTGAACAAACATAACGAGTTGATTTTTAAATGTAGACATAAAAGCCACCTCAATTTAACTAAATATATTTAGGAATAACTATATAAAAAGGGAAAAATATTAATTTTGTTTTTGAAAAGAATGTATGAACATATGGATGCTGTACTTGTTCGTATGTACTCTAAAAAGTAGATGAAATTAGACATTTATATGTGAATTTATATATATATATATATATATATATATATATATATAGTAATTAGTAGGAGGATTTGATAATGATATTTAATTAATTCATTGAGTCTGATAGAAACCTCTACAGAATGCAGGAAGCACTGGACGGCCGTTTCGTCCTATATTTGGGACTCATCAGCAGTGCGCATCCACTACCGAGTATCAACCCTGACAGTTGGGTTGTCAAGCGCACACCATACCAACTGTTCCAAATGGGCCTCGGTGACGAAGAGATTCCAAATCAGACTCAACTAAGCTATATATATATATATATATATATATATATGTATGGGCATTTAGGATAAGGGTGCTTATATGAATATATGTGTTTGTATGAATTGTAGGCACATATATATATATATAGCGTAGGTTTTTGTGTTAGGTATCGTTGTGCATATGTATGTGTATGTATATGAATGTATATATGTGCGTATGTATAGATGTATATGTGCGTATGTATATATATTATATATATTACACTTTTAATATAAAATTGCATGTAATCTATATATATATATATATATATATATATATATATATATAGTTGCAAATAGTATAGAATGAATATTTACAATATGTGTGAGTATATGTATAACATAGTAATATAAATACATATGCATGTATGTATGTTTATGGGTAGAGTACTTTTCATATGCTTGTGTGTGTATATATGTAGGTGTATGTATATGTGTATATATATGGTTATGTGTGTATGTGTATATATATATATGTGTGTGTGTGTATGGAATTGTATTCAAATGGAAGAACATGGGTCATTCTAATGATGTTTTAAAATTACTCTCTTTAAAATATCACTTTCTCCGTTAATGTTCTATAATTAGAATTATGAGTGTTTATTTATCTTCTGGAGGTATTTTTATTTTTATTTTCAATTGATAACTTAACTTAAATTTAAATATACCACTCTTTAAATATTAATATTAATAGTAAAATATTGACAAAAATTTTTTTAATAATTAAGCATTTCAGAAGTCACCTAACGTTAAACTTTAACTATGAAATCAAACAAAAATCTAAATAAATTTCAAATAAAATATAGGTAATCATTTATTAACGTATGTATAAATAGTTTATGTATGAATATAGATGAACATTTGTGTATATTGTTACACGTGTCTATGCATGTAAATATAAACGTATGTATATATGGGATTTGCATGAATATGTTTGTGATATATATAAGAAGAAAGCAAAATCTTTAATATTAACCTCAAATATTATTCCATAATGAAACCTAAACCTTAAGTAAGGATTTTTACCCATATAATAATAAAGAAAAATTGCATTCATAAATTAGATTAAAAGTAAAACTAATATAGATGTTACCATAAAAAATTTTTTCTTTTTTCTTTTTTACAATAAGGAAGTAAGATTGGTCGGGTAAATAAACTATTATAATTTAAAATATTTCTTTAATATGTTCTCTATAAACGTGTTAATAAAAATAGTAGTTAACTTATATTAAGCCCCTCAACTATTTGCTTGTAAAATTAAATATTTAAATTGATAACAATCATCAAATTTTTTTAGACATAAATTTCTATCAAGCATTGGAATTGTTAAATCCCAATTACAGCCTCTTTCGATTGACTTCCCTCCCCCTCTCTCTCCTTGCTGTAACACTCATTTGTATATATCTGTATTACTGTTTTCTGTCTCCTCTTTCTCTTTCATTTATCTTTTTTCTTTTCTCCCTATTCCCTCCCATTTCTATATATCATTTCCGTTAAGTTAACCATCTAAATAGGTCAAGGTCTGGTCACTCCTCCTACCCCAATATAAAGTACACTTGAGAGAGATATGAAATTAACCCCTCCCTATACTCTCCCATGTCTCTTTACCTATCCCTCTTACACCCCCTGTTAAATTACAAAAACTTACACTACCCATCAATTTTAATCGCATTTTTCGTTTCATTGTTGGAAGGGCTATCTGATGATCCGGCGAACTTTTAAAAGGACTGGTGAAATAAATTATTGTAATGGTACCTTAAAGTGGTCTGTTTTTCTTTTAAATAATATATATATATATATATATATATATATATATATATATATATTAGGACCATGAATAAGTTCTTTGAGATTTTTCATGAAAAGTAATGTTTTATTTAGAAAAATTAGTAAGAAACATGTCACTGAAAGTATTGTCCATCACTAGCCTCTACTTTTCCCTCTTTCTGGCAGCATTTAATTTCCATGTTGATAAAATGACACGTCTTTTGAGGCTAACCACAATTCTACCCATTTTTTTGATTTGTTTGTTTGTTTGTGTTTTACGACATATCGACCTCCTCAGTCATTTAATGTCAAATCAGGTTATTATTGGAATATTATTTTCCAATATAATAGACCCTTCCATTTCCACAAACGGAGAGGTTTGCCATGCTGAAAAGGTTTTAGAAATGAAATGGTTTGTAGAAAAAAATCTGGTTCTGTCAAAAAAAAATTTTTGTAGAGAATTGTATCGTAGGAAGTTTCTTCCTTTTTTGAGAAATGGTATGCAGAAAGAATCAGATTTTGTTGAAAACATTCCTTGCAGCAAAAGTTTGCAGAAAACTCCCAACTTTTTATGTTTTTAGATTTTTTGGTACAAATTGACTGCTTTCAGGAATGATATTATGTTATCCATGTCAGTTTTTTGGAACAGTTCCTTCATGTTACTTGCACTATAAAGCGTTTCTCTTATATGGGCTAGGTCAGTACATTCAATGAGAATGTGTTTCACTGTGTATGCGGTCTGGCATGCATAACACATTGGTTGTTGCTTTGCTTCAAGTAAGTAGGAATGTGTTGTCCTTGTATGGCCTATTCAAGTCTGGACAATATCACTTCCTCTTTTCTATTTTTCCTATAGCTCTGTTTCCATTCTCCCAATTCAGGTTTAATTTCTAGTAATTTATTATTACTATTGCTGTTCCAGCGTTGTTGTCTTTGTTGCAGTATGTATTTATTTATCTTCATTTTAAGGTCTGTATATGGTATTTTGAAATTTTTTCTATGGTCATATTTAGAGTAGACCTGGCTGCTTTATCTGCCTGGTCATTTCCACCGATTCAGTGTGACCTGGGACCCAACATATCTGTATATCATTATCATTTGATAGGTGTTCTAATTTACATAGTATTTTCACTATCAATGGATTATCAAACTTCCTGTTTTTAGTGATTCTAATACTGATAGTGAATCAGAAAAGATAATGAACTTGTTGTTCCTTGATTCTGAGATGAGGTTAAGAGCCATGTTAATTGCGCGCAAACTTCTGCACTGAATATAGAGGTGTCATTTGGGAGATGTTTTTAAATATTTTCCTATTATATATTATGCACATCCTGTTATTTTTCCTACTTTAGATCCATCTGTGAAGACATGTGAGTGCCTAGGATATCTCTCCTTAACTTTCTCTAATTCCTCTTGGAAAATTAGTGGGTGGGTTTATTTTTTGAAGTATTTACAGAGGGTTAAGTTTATGTTTGGGGTTCTTATGGTCCAAGGTGGGATATCTGGTATGATTGTTTTATGGATTTTTGTCAAATCTACATCTGCTTCTTCTATAATTGTTTCCATCCGAAGTCCAAAGGGTTTTATGGCTTTTTCATTCCTTTGGAATAATTCTTTGTATTTTGGATAGAAGGTACTATTGTAATGCAGGATTTGCTGGGCATGACCCTAATTTGACATAGTACTGGAGGGCCAGTTTATGGCTTCTACTATTTGCAGGTGCTTCGTTAGCCTCAGCATATAGGCTCTCGACTGGAGACGTTCTAAAGGCTCCAGTACTAACCTCAAACCTCCATGGTAGATCGGGTCAAGCATTTTTAAATAGGATTTTCTGGCTGAGCGGTATATAAAAATACTGTAATCCAATTTTGATCTAATTAGGGATCTATACAATAATAACAGAGTGCTTCGATCTGCTCCCCATTTTGTGTGGGCTACCACGCGCAGTAGTTGTAATGTTTTGTTACATTTGGTTTTTAAGTATTTCAGGTGAGGAATAAATGTTAGTTTTTTGTCAAATATTACCCCAGAAACTTGTATTCATCTACAACTGGGATCTCTGAACCGTCAAGTTTCAGCCTAGGGTCATTATGGAGTT